GGGTCTACTGACATCGCTAAACAATATGCCGATGTAAAATACATGGCTTCACATATTCCTTGCATAACAGCATAGCCATAAAGATAACCAATATTTGACGCCAATGGCATCAGGAATTGCGTTATTGCCATAAGCAGCAGTCCACATTGAAACATGGTGTAAAACGAGACACGACCAGTGTCACCAACTTTTCCAGTGAGTATTCTACATACAGTCGATATCATACCAGTGACGGGATACATCCACGAAGACGCGTGACTTGATATTCCTATATCTTCAGCGTATTTTATCTACAATATGAAATAGATTATAAAGCATATCAATTATCAACTCATTCATCAATCCATCAGTCGGTCAGTAAGTCAGATGACAGTCAGTCAGAGAGCCAGTCAATATCCTCACTTACCAGGTGAACTAAAGGCATGAAGTGTCCAAAATAGAATGTAGTATTCATGGCAACAACTAGAATCAGCATAGGATTCTTGAGCGCAGAMAGATTTTGAAGTACCGCAGACCAGATATTTTTCTTTTTACCATCAAGATCACTGGTCGTGTCTTTATTTTGTGAGTGTACTTTTTGTACTTTTCTAGTAATGGTGCATCCCAGAATACTTGTCACMAGGTTCATACCCGCCAATACCAGCATGGCTTTCCTCCAACCAAGATAATCTATGAGCATATGTGCTATAGGACCCATAATAAGAACACCAGCCCCAGGCCCTGCTGACACCATACCAGTCGCAGCTGAACGATGTTTATCGAAATACAATGGAACCATTAGAAATCCTGCCATGTAAACCAGACAGGAACCGCAGGCGACCAGGAAACCATATGTGAAGGAGAGAACATAGATATTGGGGGCAAACGACGATCCCAGGAGTCCTAGCGCAGAAATGAATCCTCCGCATGGCATAGCGACACGGCAACCAAAACGGTTAATGAAAATCGCTGCTATTGGACACAAAAGAGAGCGAAATCCAACTGAAAATGATCCAGGAAGAGCTGTAGATGATACAAATTGTTAATAGAATTAGGTGCAATGGTATTGCAAGAACAAAATGACATTTGCATATTTGGCATCAACCCTTATTATTTGTATCCATTCTCTTAATTCGTCTCTGGCTCAATTTCCTAACGGAAAATCAATTTCTATTTTCGTTTCTATGTTTCGTTGGGAAGCCGAGAAATGTTCAGGTTAATAGAATGAGTTGGATCATGTCTGTCGCCTGGGCAGCTTTTTATCGGCATCTTATTCACCTGCTCTGTGCACTGGGAGCCGAATCATTAACATAGAACGTTAGGTCTTTGCCACCRCGTAAATGTGAAGACTTGAGGGATTTCAAAGTCTGTTGTTGTGTAGTTCGTCCAATTTGAATCGGAGGCCTTAAAGCGGCCCCAAGTGCACCCAACTCAATTATTATATAAAAGAAAACATTTTACTGGTTTTAATACATGTGATCATGCGCAAAAGAACCTAGAAAAACACTTTTCTGTCCCACATGGAACAGTTCATGCGCTTATCTGTAACACCAACTTTGACTCATTGATACGTGTYGACTGATCATGACTGACGATGATGACTGGCGTGGAATCATTCAAGATACAGGCATTACGTAATACTCATTTTGGTGCTAATTGCAAAATGCAATCAACTGAAAAAGTAATTAGATTAATTAATGCATTCTTTCTTACTATTTATAACATCGATGACGCAAACAGTTCGTTAGTCAAACACCTTGCAATCGATCAACCAATGATTCGAAATTCACTGGCTTTTTTTCTCCTTTACGTGTTTTTTATAATGATTTTGCAGAAGGTGTGAAGGAAACTAAATTCAACCTCRAAAAAGAACCTCAACTTCAAAAAGCTTTTAAGATGACGTACGCTTTGTTGGCTAGTAATTAAGCCGGCAGAGCAGAACAAAAACAACTTTTTTTTCAATCTTTTCAGCTTTAACCTTTTCAGGGATATGTTAGTCTGTATTTTTTAACAATTTWATATTTTACTTTACTTTCATCTGGGTCTTTAACCCTAAGAATTCGCCTTTTTTCCTTTATCATTGATATTATGCACGTGCTATTCCGATGGAATGGACKGTTATGTAATACTTTTTATGGATGAGCACATCTGTAAATCATGACATCCTAGATTTTAATTTACTTCCATGCATTTTGAAAATGTTTGCAAATATATTGATTCATGATCCAATGCAAAATACAAGACAGTGTATGAATGTTGTTATCAACCCATCAAAACGCTTACACATAACCTATTATGGTACTAGAACTCTAGAAGTCTGAAATTTCATAAAAAGCTTCTATTCAAAGCTTACTTTCAGATTGAGAGAGGGGGGAATAGGATGCCCCTAGATAGTTAWGCCAATYTCTTTTGCGTTTCCTTTCAAARGATGTTTTAAAGGTAAGCYCTATTACCTAGTGTGCTCTWCKTCAGGCCCTCAAAATATTACTGCAGCAAATCYGTTAACTTGAAAAACTATTGTTTGACGTCACTCTTATWTAGTTTACTCAGTTCGGAATAATTAACGGAATGCAATTTTCGAATCTTTTCATGTTTTCATTGATGTCTCAGTCGTTGTACACAAAATTTATCATGAATATTACTATATTCTAAGTCATGGATAAAGAAGGAATACTCAAATTCATTCTGTTATAGATCTAAGAAAAGTTATAAATAGATTAAACGACTGCGCCCTCATGGCATTCGGCAACTACATGTGCCTTACCGTCTTCAYTTGTTGTTAAATACAACTGGTTTTGTTATTTTCCATTTCAATACTAGAATTTGTGTTCTTAGTTGTGTTTGTGTTTGTTATATTTTGATGGATATTATGTTAGGTAAGTGTTGCTTTCACATGACTAGCTCACAAGTACCTGWTTTTGCTTTTCCAGCTTGAAATTCTGCCAAAATTGCAGGGAAAAAGATACCATATATGTAGCTTGTCCCCAAGCTGACAAAACTTGCCAACGAAGCACATACACAGGCCAACCAAGAAGCTTTGCAGTCCAAAGGCAACGTATTACTGGTTTGTATACTGGCTGGGGTCAATATCGGATTCTTCTTTTCCTGCGGAGTCTATTAAAAACTACTAAAGTAAGCTATAAAAAATATCATTATTTCMCCTTATATGTGTTTAGATATATAACCAAACCAAAGGAATGTTTTCTACTAGTAATTCATTTTCAAATACATCGCTAAATCGCACGTGTTCGTCTAAGCCTTTTGGACCTTTTGCATCTTTTTCTTTAAGAACAGTTTGAAGGCACAAGCAAGTTTGTTAAATTTAGATTAATTTTGCATTACTCGTAGTRTTTTTTCGTCTCAAYACTTTTTCGTCATTGTTCGATAAATTGAACATACCTGAGTTTGCATTTTGATAAATAGCAATCTTCAAATTAACAGGATTTGTACACAAGCTTATAAATGGTGTCTGGCTATGACTGTTATGGAACTGTTTTGAAACAGTATATAACTRTATGACGAAAAATATACCCATCTAGCGTCAAAAAATGTCAACATGCCAATGTGGGTGGGCGGTGAACCAACAAGTGTTGCACTATRTTTAGCCGGACAAACTCACGCAACAACGGCAAACATTATGATGATCRAACGGTTAAAGATAATGTAAAMGATTCTAGAGATGTATTTCACATGCTTCGCACGCTTTTGTTTATATATTGTAAGTTTAGTCCTTTTAAGTAAAATATCTTCAAGCCGCATTCTTTTGAGTGAATGGGATAATATCAAGAATGCAAATATGTTACATTAGTTTCTATATTATTCAGGCGTGGTCACTATCGTGTATGCGGAGAAATAACTTATCTGCATCGTATTATGCATCGTATTAGGTATATATGGCATAATTTCCTTAAAAAATGATTATAGTGGATATCAGCGTAAATCACGAAATAAGAGGAGTAAACAAAAGGACAGTCACTTCAGTTGGATTCGGGGTATCAAATCTGAAACAAATATCTTTCAAAAAATGTTACCAATCAGGGATTGTTTTATGCACTTTATTTTAAATATTGGGACATATTGATMTCTTAGCATCTGTCACTCAGATTACTAGATTATGTTTTGCTCGTCCACAAAGTGATACGTGTATAAATAGTTTCTAGCGTTACGGAATGTAGATAATTGAGTTGTTTTTAGTGAAATTGAGATGACGTGCATCTCATTCAAAATAACGAGCTTATTGTTTTAGTTGACGTCACACAAAAATCGCAAACTATTGTCCGAAATTCAGCGGTATTTCGAGCTATTGTTATAGGCATTAGAAGATATTTTCTTTGTTTCCATTTTGTGTTAGAAACACGCGCTATTGTTGGGTGAACACAAAAAATAATTTGCAATCATTCTGCAGCTCGCGATTCAAAACCTTTCTCGTGTTTTCCCGCGTGTTTTTACAGAGAATGGAAACATGGAAAATATCTTTTAAATTAACATAAAACCGTCAAATACACTTTAGMATACTTTATTATTTATTATTACACATGGAGCCTGGGCGCCAATACATGAAGTGATCTGATTGGTTAAGTCGTTCAAAAGGATTCGAAGGTTCTTAAAGCATAGATGGGAACTACTATGGTTTAGTTTGGGAGACTGATATGCCATAAAAGAGAACACCATTATGCTTTTGTATCAGGGATTTGCAAAGTGCCTTAGCAACTTYAACGGGATTTTTACGAAATTTGTGGGCAACGGCAAAAATTTAKTGAAAATACCAAAAGCGCGCTAGCACATGATTAAAAAATAAAGAGAAATCGAKAACACTATACTAAAATTAAATGAAACTGAATTTTTTTAACACATATGATAATTTTCTCGCTTTCTGATTGGTCGAGAGCATGGTAAATAAGACTAAATTTCGCGCGGTGTGATTGGTTGCCCAGCGGTGACTATCAYCCATTAGTATTACCATACTAGTGGACTATTGCAAATCCTCTTTGTCTAGTGTCATTTTTTGGTCCACTGTTAATGACCGTATTAGCGAATTATGAAATATTGAAGAATATGCATTATAATGCATTCTATTGAAGATAAAAAAGATTTACAAACTCATATTTACAATTGAATTTAGATGTCCTTCTTTTCAAAACATTAAACTTTGGTAGTGGAATCTGTCACGCTCAAATCAACAGTGCTGACCATTGTCGTCGTCGACTGCCATGTCTTCATTTTGTTCTTGGTTAAAGAAAATGACTTCCCAGTTCGTCCATTACTTAATTTGCTTGCGCTTCTTCGTCGTTTCATGATAATACAATGACGTATGAATGGAAGCATTGAGGCCAAGAGAAGAAAACATCCTGAAGCATAGAAGACTGGGTTGTATGAATGACTGTAGTCAGCGATGAATCCTGTCGACAGAAA